AATTGGCTCCAGGAAGTCGTGATTGATTTGCCGCTGCAGTTCGGCAGGTGCATTCACGAGGCCAAAGGGCCTACAAGTGTACTCCAGCTTGCGAGTGCGGGTGTGGAATGCCGTTTTGTGCCTGTCCTCAGGGTGAATTGGGATCTGTAAAAAGGCCTCAGCGAAGTCAAATGCTGAGTATACCGCTGAACCCTGTAGGCGGTCGAGGATTTCGTCCACTCTGGGCATCGGAAACTTCTGCTTCTGCTTCACTGTAATCTTGTTGAGGGGCTTGAAGTCGACGCACATGAGCCACCTGCCGTCCTTTTTCTTCGCCAGCACGGGATTGTGCCCAAAGGCGCTAGTTGAGGGCTGAACCTTGCCCTTTTTCAGAAGTTCGTCTGCCTGCCGCTCAATTTCCTCTTCCGGATGCGGGGGTCGCCTGTACCGTGAAACAAAGCTTGGGGCTGAGCCTGGGACGAGTTCGATGCGGTGCATAGAGCGTTAAGCGGGTGGCCTGCCCGCCGGTAGCTCTTTGTTATTGAGTACATCCGAGAACTCTTCCTTCAGTTTTGCCCACTTCTGCCGTTCCTCGGGTGATCCAGTTAACACTGGATCGATTCCCCCAAAACTGCGGTCTTTGCCAGACCATCATGACGGAGTGCGTGGGTGCCTCCGTTATTCTCTTCGGTGCCTCTGCACGGCGGCGAAGCTTCGTCGCTCCCCTTTTCTTCGGACACAGTCTCCACACCTCGAACCATAGAGGATGCAAATGCCGTTGGGAGCGCTGAGAGGTGCACTCTCTCATCACTTCCAGGCGGAATGACCTCTATGGCACAATCAGAGGAACGCATTTGCGCCTTCCACTGGGTCACCCACGGCATGCCTAGGATTATGTCGTGGTGAACAGGTCCAACGTAGAAGTCCCTAGTCATAGGAATGTGCCCTGTTTTAGAGCTGATGGAGCATTTTACGCCCATAGTTCCGCCGATTCTAGTATCCTGCCTGCCATCTGCGAAGCGTAGCCTCAGAGATTGTGCCAACGAGTAGACCGGTAGGCTGCATTTCCTTACTGCGGCTTCCGATATCATATCCATTTCACATCGCGTATCGAGTAGGGCCATTAAATCCTCTCCGTTTATTCGTACTTGTACAAGTACTGAATTGACTGGAGGTGGGTCTGTAGGTGCGGCCGTTATCTCGCGTGGCCCCTTCACTGCGCCGCACGTTCCGTAGGGGCCCGGGCGTTTCCCTGCTTGCTCTGTTTGTTCCCTTGACGGCGCTGTTCGGGGTTTGGTCTCAGTTGTTCCCTAGCCGTTTTCATAAGCCTGCAATCTCGAAATACGTGACCCGGTTTACTACAGACGATGCAGGTACGCCGTTCAGAGTCTCCGTCTTGCTTTTTAGGTGGTGACGTCGCCGTCTGCTGACGGTAGCCGCTTCTAGCCCCGTGTTTAGCTGGCTTGGTGTTCACAGCCCCAATATCCATTGGTTCCAAATCGGGATTGTTCCCGTGCCCGCTTTCTTCCTTTTCAGCTAAGGCTGTGGGTGTGGCGTCTTTCTTTTCCATTCTGCGAAGGTATTCCATCATGCCAGCAAGTTCCACTTTTTCGCCCCTCATTTCCCTGTCCATGACCCAGCCAGACACTGTTTGCCACACTACGGGATCCATCCCCTCTATAAACCATTGGTAGTGGAGCTCCGCGGCCACCATAGGACTTCGGTTCACCAAGGACTGGTATTTCTCAATGTAGCGCTCTACTGACAGTTTTCCCTGTTTAAGCTTTCTCAGTTCTGCCATAGCCTGCTCGCTTGCGGACGTCGGGATAAACCTGCAACGTACCGCGTCCCGGAATGCCTGCATGGATCTGATGTGCTCCGGGAACGTGGAGCCGTTGCATAAGTGTAGCCACCATCGCCGTGCGTCCCCTTCTA